TACCAATGAAACGGATGTTGTATATGACTGCTTTTCCACCGAGGGTCAGAGTCGGGCTAGAGTCGGGTTGGGGTGAGCGTTTTTGCGGTGGAAACATTGGGGTTAGGTGTTTCCACCGCAAAAACGCTCACCCCAACCCGACTCTGACCCGACTCTAGCCCGACTCTGACCCTCGGTGGAACAGCAGTCTATGTGGTAATGTGAAATCCATAGACACAATGTATCTAGACCGAGCAAGGGGTAGAGGTTCACGTAGAAAAGGACGAGATAAAAGAATCAGCGGCTGGAGCGTTTTGTTTGTTTGCCCGCCTCTCGCGCACTGTGCGCGCGAGAGGAAGAGATGGAACGAGAGAGAGAGAGAGAGAGACAGGGGGAAGAGGAAAAAAGGGGCATGCGATCGAACGAGAACGAAATAGCACAAAACAGAGTTTGTCCTTTTCTACGTGAACCTCCACCCCTCACTGCTTAAATAAAGGTAAACTCTCGGTCTAGATATATTGTGTCTATGGTGAAATCGGTGTGACAGGATTTTATACCAAAAACATGGCGGAGTACCACGTGATCGAAACCGAAAAGATCAAAGGACCGACAGAGAGAGTGGGCACACTAGTTGTACGCACACATCCACTCGATTTACCTAACGAGACATGGCGGAACTGATCGCCTCACTTTTCAGCACGAGGGTTAGCAGTCTAGCGGTACACCGAAGTCCGTGGCGACGCGGCGCGCCGCGTCGGCGTCGCGTATCTCGATGAACTCGTAACCCCCACGACCTAACCTAGCGGAGTGCCGTGCAGTGCGGAAACATGGTACGATCGCTCGCGTGCCGCCGTCCCGCAGTGCTCGCCGTATCTCGAACGATCTCGGCTCGACTCCGTCGCTGACTGCACCCCCTTTTTTTCCTCTTCCCTCTCTCTCGCTCGCTCGCTCGCACGCGCGCGCTCTCTCGCTCCCTCTCTTCCTCTCGCGCGCACAGTGCCCGAGAGGCGGGCAAACAAACAAAACGCTCGAGCCGCTGCCCCGGCCGACAGACGTTGGCACGTGATTCTTTTTTCGCCACGCACCCACCCTCCGCTCGGGGTCCATTAGCGTCAATCGCCGGCAATAAGCCTCGCGAATCGCTCGACACTAGTCGAGCCCGTCGAGCTCGGGACGAGCAGCGCAAAAAAAGGGTCGCCCGGCGTAAGGTCTGTTCTCTTCTCTCGTCGGCCGCCACTCTCTCCCTTAACCTGCCCTGCCCCGTGCCGCGAGGCGCCCACGAAATACGTCGCGTGCTCTAGACCGCCGGAGAATTTATACGTCTTTCGCGCCCGCGTTAATTCCTCGCCCACTTGACCCACATTGAAAGCACTAGCGCGAGGTACAAGCCGATCCCTTGATTGCGACATGGAATATCTAGGTCATCGCACGGAAGAGAAGATATTTCGTCGTTTAGTTTATTCGCGGCTTATATAAATGTTCCTTTTTCTTATTCCGTTGATCGCGCTTTTATTCAAAACTATTGTAGCCAGATTTAGGAAGCTGATACGCGGCATTTCTATAATATATTAATATATATTTATCGTTCGCTTAAAATCGTGAAACATCGTTGATGATTCAAACCGAAATGTATTTTCGCTGTTCGATATTTTTATATTTCGACCTCGCGTTATATATAGTGATGATAGTCGAAGAAAATTTGATATTCGACATCGCCCAGTGTACTCTCTCGATTCGTCAAAGTGCCAATTTTTCCGCGATTCAGAAATGGCGTTTAATTTCACCCCGCTCTTGCGACCGCGACGAATTGCAAAAAGTGTCCCGGGCAATTTTCCCCAGCGGATTGAGACAAATGTCGTTTTTCCAGACGGGGACGAGATCGTGCGGCCAAGTGCAGAAAGTGCCCTTTAACTTACACTCTCTCTGGACCGGTCGTCGAGGGACACGCTGAAGCGGTCGGCAGTTATTACCGAAGTCGCCGTCGAAGTCAATAGCGTTTGAGGAATCTCCCTCTTTATCTTGCGTAGCGGAAAAAGAGATCAACAAAGAAGGGAAAATGGCGGGCACTTACACGAAGAAGGAATTCGGTGTGGGGCCGGAGGAGCAGACTCTTCTCAAAGACTCCAATGGGACCCGCATCGTACCTTCGAAAGGTAATGGGGGGCCGTGGCACGCCGTCTGTCGCGTACCACGGCCGCGGCTATGGGGGAATGCGGCGGCTTTCTCGGAATGGCTTTCTTGTCGTTTTATTTCCCCGCTGTACAGCCGCCCAAACCAGTCTGTGGAGGAAGCTCTCAGACTGTGGACTCGGCATCCTTGGCACTGACAGTGAAGTATTTGTGGCTTTGACGCTCGCTTCGTAGTTTGTTGCAGTTGATACGAAATACGCTTCGCTAATTTTTATCCGAATCCTTGTAACACCCGAAAGCTGGACAGGCTGCTTTGATTGAAATCAGTAATCTGGTACTTTGCGCAATGGTCGAGATTTTAGATAATTCAATGAAGTTTAAATGATTGACCTCGAGCTGATCATTCGGGGAAATTTAAACGAATTTGAGATAATTCAGTCTGCACAGCACAAGTGGCAATTATTGTATTAACATTCAAATATTTAGATTGACATATTGTGAATTGCATTTCATGTGACTGATTATATTAACCACATTATTGAAATAATCTCAGGTTTAATGATGAATTGTATGGCAAAAATTGTGTTGTCTTAAATTTCGACAATCAAGAGACAGTGTGCATCTTGTTTAAGCCTTTTGACAGTTTTTCTGAGATACCACTTATCTCGTTCTATTATAGTACAGCTGAAGATTGATAAGATATTTTGGGTACGAACGGTCTCTTTTGTTTTGAAATGCTTCTTACTTGCTGTCTTAACTGCCTTTTTTAGCAGATAACGGTAACACCTAAAGTTCTTAGGTGCTTTATATTTCTACAAGATATAAGAGAAAATCAATTTTAAGCTCATCAAAAAAGCCATTGAAAAAATAATTGTAAAATGCAAAAGTTTTCAAACGTTTAGATATGTTTATTTATAATTTTATTATATATATATTTTTTTATGTACATATCTCTTTACTCTCCGCTGTTCTTTTACTTGTCTTTCATTTTTATATTATTTTTATTGCATATCTCTGCTGCACTGTTCATTATATTGCACTAATATTAATAAATACATATATTATTCGTAACTGTGAAAAATATACGCGTATTAAATACATGATAATGTAATAAAATAAACATTTTATTTTGCCATAGCTTCTATAAAAGAATCACATTCTCTTGTGCGTAAAGCTTTGTTTTGCTGATGTGACATGCTGACTTGGCTAACTAAATGTGAGAGCCTGTCGTGCAGTCACTAACATAAGCGGTTATAAGCGTAAGACTTGAAGCAGTGTTTCTAATTTCTACAGCAATAAGTATAGAAAAGTTATTGTTAATAATTATAACAATTATATCTACGGAGCAACGATATTTAAATAATTGCCTTCTTTATTATTCATTTTACTATTATCTCATTTAAATAATTAAGTGCAAGGAAAATGACTGGAAAAGGTAGTAGACAATTTCTTTCTCATATATAATTGAGCATAAGAGATAATTTATAATTTTTTATACTTTTATGATACATTCTGTATTATATAATCGAACTTTTTTATCTTATTTGCATTTAAATTTACTTTGTGATTTATTGAGAATTAATATTTATATATTAATGTATCTACATATTTATGTATCGTTATGTTTGCATATATTATATAATAGATATTAGCAATTCTGCTAATATCTGGCTCTATAAAAAATAATTTAGAGTACAATGGATCTTTTCTTCATGGTTCTATTTGCTCGCCTTATGATATTGTCCCTCTGTTGGTTGATAATTAACAATTACTTACTTATCATATACGCATATAACTTTTTATTACCTCAATTATTGTCTTTTTATATAAATTGTTGTTAATATTTCGTAGATGCACGTATTGCGCTCTTATGTAGCATCAATTGATTTTAATGAATCAATTGATTGCGACATTCCATTATAGCGGCCGCACACAATTATCTCTCTTTTTGTGTGTGTAATCAGCTATCTCAATTATTTCTCTTTTTCTCTTTCAAATATCTCTTGGTGTCTCAGCTATACATCCAAATCTCTTTCTTTGCCTCGTATGCACTTACAATACTATTAACTCAAACATTTTTAAATTAAACAAATGATTTGATTAAAATGATCTTTTTAATCATTCGCTATTATAAAAGGCAGAATTTCTTAACTTATACATTTATCTGCAATATATCTTTTAAACTCAATATATTTAATATAACTTTAACATATGGTAAAATATTAAGTTTCTAATTTGAAAATGTAAGAAAAAATCTACATTTAAAACAGTAGCTTTATATTTTTTAGTTTATAATTAATAATACTGATAGCAAGATTTAATATTATGAATTATAAATCATATAAAATCTTGAAAACAACTAAATTAATTTTGTTTAAGGTTCAGAACCTGTACGTCTTTCACCAGGATGGGAAGGTACTGGTAGACCCGACGACGAATTGAATTTTAAAGGCGTCACAATGGATCAAGCAGATCTTGAATTGAATCCTCCTAAAGATAGGTATAATTATACGTTTATTAATATTTGTTTATGATAAAAACTGCTTGTTCACTTAATATTTTATGCAGAGTTTATATTATTAAATTTATATAATTAAAAGATTATTTCATATTATTAGAATAATGTGTAGAAAATTGCGTACGTAGTAACTGTAAAGATATGGTTGACTTAACTAAAATTATATTTCGTATTTTGTTTTAGATTAAACTTAGTATTTTTCATATTAATACTTCATGGAATCGGTGCCTTGATGCCATGGAATATGTTTATAACAGCGAAAGATGTAAGCCAAATATAATGACTTCTAATAATTGTATTAGTTGAAATTATAACACTATTGTATATATGTATAAAATTATTATATTTGCAGTATTTTGTCAGTTACAAATTGTCTAAGGAATACACTGGTGTAGATACAACCTCCTATTCGACGAATTTCCTTCCATACCTGGGATTTGCTTCACAAATACCGAATCTGTTGTTTAACTGGTTGAATGTATTTTTACAATTGGGGTATGTGTATAAGCTGTAGATATATTTCACAACTAATTAGAGTTGTGACGAAAATATTTTATGCAACTTTAACTTATATACCTTTGTTATTACAATATTAATGATAATTTCGATTACAAATGTAAGTTTTGTTGATCTTAAATTAGATCAAATTTATATAATTTGTTAAAAAATAATGTGATTTACTAAACGATGACACCGACTTTTCAGAGGAAACTTGACTACGCGCATAGTATGGAGTATCTTTGTTCTGGTCTTGATATTTGTCTTCACTGTTGTCTTGGCAATGACTGACAGTTCTGGTTGGCCCGACATATTCTTCTGGGTTACCATGGTATCTGTTGTTATATTAAATAGTAAGTAACTACTTTTATTAATTTATTAATTGAACTAGTATGTGTATAATAAATGTTATATCTGACAAAATTAAAACTACTATATTAAATAAAGATATATGTATGTAATTATTAATAAACATTGTTATTATTCATTCTTGATATTTAAATCACATATAATACATTAAAGTTTTATGTTTTAGCTGCCAATGGCATTTACCAGAACTCAGTGTTTGGAATGGCAGCGAAATTACCCATTAAATACACGGGCGCCGTTGTTTTAGGCACGGTAGATATCAGCATCAATCAGATCTGATAAAGTGTCGTTGCATAATAATAAAAACAGTAATGTGTTATTTTCAGAACATCAGTGGAACTTTTACAGCCATAATAAGCTTCCTAGCTCAAATAATGGCTCCAAACGCGCGCACCGCCGCCATATATTACTTCATCACGGCTTTGTTCATTCTCCTGGCTTGCTTTGACACATACTTTGCACTTCCAATTAACGTAAGAGTTTTATTAAAAATTAAGTTTTATGCCAATTATTATGTATAAAAAATTATTTAACCAATGTTAATAACTTTTATTGCAGAGGTTTTATCGATATCACGAGCTTCTTCATCAGAAAGAGTCGAATAAAAGACAATTAGAGAATAGTTCGAGAGGAAAGTATAACCCAGCCTATTGGACAGTGTTCAAAGCGTGTTTCCCACAATGCTTCAACACATTTTTAATTTTCTTCGTAACTTTATCGATTTTCCCATCTGTCCAATCTGACATACGTGCTTCAGATGATAAATTTGTGATTCCACCCGAGTATTATAGTAGTGTTATGTGCTTTTTAACGTTCAATATCACTGCCATGCTCGGAAGCTCAATCGCGTCACTTGTTCAATGGGTATGTATCACATTTTATATTGGCTCACTAGGAGTACGTTCGCGTGGCGCGCTATTAACGCTGAAAATGTCATCTATCTTTGACACATGAGCAACAAGGCTAGAATGACGGTTTCAGCGCTAAATAGTGAGTTCTCCAAACGCACCCTAGAGCAGCACGATCGTCACCTAAATTATATCGGTTGCGTTCAGCGGAGAAAACTGCTCAGTTAATGCTTGCACTGATTGAATTATACTTAAAAAATCTAGGAGAACAGTTCTATCACAGCACAAATCTAAAAGTATAACCCAATCAGCAAGAGCGCTCACTGACCAACTTTCTCCGCTGAACGCGGCCATTGTTACCAAATTATGATTGATAAATCTTTTTGATGTGTACTATATAATTCTAATTGTTTACTGATTGTCTTCTATTTATTAATTCTTTTACAGCCGAGCAAGAAGTATCTGGTAATTCCAGTGATTCTACGATTTGCTTACATACCGTTGTTCTTGTTGTGCAATTATCAACCGACTGGCACGGAAAGAATATTACCAATACTTATAAAAAATGATTGGGTGTTTTGGGTAATCGCTGTTACTATGGGCCTTAGTAGCGGCTATCTCTCATCATTATCGATGATGTATTGCCCCAGGTAAGCATGATGAATGAAAAATGAGGAGAAAAAGTAAGAAATTTATATTATAATTATATACATACAATGTTACTACATGATAAATATTTTGTATTCAGAATGGTAGATTCGCAATACGCTTCGACGGCCGGCATGTTTGGTGCCGCATCTTTGATCACGGGGATTTTCACGGGAATTCTATTTTCTATGGCGATGCCTTTTCTCGTGGCCAACGTGACATTCTGATCGTTTCGAAGTTAAGATTCAGCATTGCCATATGCTTATATTAACTCAGGAGCTAGAACAAAGATTTGGAGATTAAGAGTGCACAGTTTATCTTCCGCAATTACAAATTAAAATAATATGAAATAACAATTTAAGAACTTGAAAAAATAATATCGAAGAGGAAAGGTAAAGTTACTTTTAAGAACAGCGAAAGAGAGGGGGGAGGGAGGAAAATAATATTTCAGAAACGGAAAGTTTACTTTCTTCGATACAAATAAGAGAAATGTTTTGGAGGATGCTCGTTTGCTTATATATACGTTAAACACATACATATATATATATCTAATATAAAATTCCTTAAATAACAGATTATAAAAACAAACTTTTAATTAACTAAAAGCAGTTTGAAGTAATGCGTGTTTTTTATAAGTGTGTGGCTTGGAGTTTCTATTGATTAATTATTTTTTAAGTCCCGTTAATAGGAGAAATAGATACAAAAGTAAATTAAGACCATGTAAAGTGCATTAATGATACGATCTGATCGTCTTACAACAGATTTGTATAAGAGATACCGGAATCCATGGTTTTACGAGGATTATAGTAACTAATTTTACTACCGCCCCTATTACTAATACCGGACCAATAAGCCTTATTAATAAAAGAAGCTGCGCGGCGCTTCAGTTTTCGTATCGTTCGAATAGAAATAGAATTGCTAAATCATTAAATTTATCCGAAAGAATCACATATTTAAATCTACAATTCGTCGCGCGTTTAACGTTAACCGTAATGTTGATTTATTACGATTACATTTAAGAGAGAATGAAAACATTTCACAATATAAATATGAAATGTTCTCTCGTGCAGCGTTAAACACGCAACGAAAATATACCTTAATAGATAAGCATTACATCTTGAAATAGAGTTTACGCTAAAGTTGTCATGCTGAATTTTCCTGCACAGAATATTTCATTTTATATAAATCTAATTGTAGCATAAAATTATTTTTAAAGACAAGACAATTTTAAATAACAATTCTACAATACAAATTAAAGAATTGTACATATAGTTTTTATTTAATTACGTTAAAATTAAATTTACAATCTATAATTCTCTAAATTCTGCCGCGTAAATCTTTGGTAGAGTTAAAAGTCAACATAATTTACAAACAATACAAAATAAAAGGCCAAGTCTGATAATTTCTTTACATCATAATAGAATGTAGCAAGATCTAATATAGTCTTGTAATGAATTTTCATTTCATTTGTAACATTACATTGATTATTACTGATTCTGTAATTACAAGGTTGTGTTTTTTACTTTTTTAGTACTATTTGGTACTTTAATTTAATATTCTTATTATATAATATTGATACATGTTATATTAACGTAAAGAGTTGCAGTATCTCAAATTTTTTTTAAGAAGTCTGAAGTCATTTTAAAACAATTTTGCTACTTTTTATGATCTCATGATATTTAAAATTTTTAATTAAACAATTTTCAGTTTGCTTTTACCAACTTTTTGTTTCACAACGGTTGTTATGTCACGAGAAATGATGCAGGAGAGTTAAGACTGTTGGCCATCCAATTGATACTAGTCCTCTCACAATTTTGACGACGAGCTTTCCACCTTATATTAGTAGATTAATGAGCGACGACTTTAGAAATTGGAAGTAGTTACATTTTTTGGGCTATGATTATATTATTTTTGTACTAATCATATAATCTTTTTTCATCATATATGTTCAAGATTGTCATATACTTATGTTATTTATGCTTTAGCGATAAAATTCATGTGTTTTCGCATTTCAAATGGTCGCGAGCTGCTATACAATACTCTTCCATTAAGCTGTACCTGGATAATCTCCACAATTTTTTCAATTGCAGCACATATTACTCTTCAGATAAAATGAAATTTTTACATAGATTATAACCTTAAATAACTTAATAAATAATGTTGAACGTTTTTGGAAGCTTACGCTAAACATATATATACATACATATATTAATATTATAATCACGTTAATATTATTACACAAATTTATAACAATCCATTGTTTATTCCGACTGAAATTTTCTCACAGCAATTTTATATATTATATATAACAGTATATGTAATATTTATATTACATTACATTAACTAACTTTAGTTGATATAATGTAGTATAACAGGATACATTTTCATACATGTTTTTAATTTTGTATTTTTGTACAAGACTTTCATCCAAATGTTATACTCCGTTACGATACAAACAAGATGTTCCTAAAATGTTTGACTAAATTTTACCAAATTCTATTCCACTGATTTTATCAGATGCTATTTATTAATTATTCTACTCTGTACTGATAACAACTATTAAATTCGCACAATATTATAGAATATAATATATCCAAATACTTTAGGAACACTCTGTGTAAGATGTGGGATATATTCAGCAGGTGTGAGAATTTTATTCGATCGCATTTACACATGCATTTTCAATTGCGCTAAAGTATAAGCTCTATAACGCATCTATTATCTATCATCGTACTGTGCATAACGATAATCAATTCGTCATCTTTCATCCGTTTTCGATTTACAAATCGATAAACGTAACAAGTTGCAAAACGCACTTGAAAAGGACAAAAGGACGTTTTCATTTGTGATGCAGTGGTTCTAAGAATTTAACAAAACTTAAATTGCACGGATATGCAATCCTATTTAACTAATCTATTTAATTGATTTAATAGATTATATGTAGAATTATATGTATATAAAAATCATCTTCAGGAAATACAATAATAATAATAATAAATTTATTGCAACGTACAGCAATGAAAAGTTTCAAGAGATTGAACATAGATAGGATATAAAAGCAATAGAAAAGTACATGTAAATGGTAAAATGCCAACAAAACTGCTACCATGAAGCCTATCAGTAATGATAGTGGGAGAAAGAGATGAGATAAAGTGATAAATAGTCTCATAAAATCACTGCGTTGCAATTGAAATGTGTTTTTACTCATTGCTTTATTAAGAAAAAAAATAATGGAATTTCTTACCTCGATCGTTATCCTATTAGACTGATGAAAATGGTAATTCTAAAACGCATTCTGAATTCCTACAAGGACAATCCTCCATATAAAACAACAGACAATAAATGATCAAGGGAATTTGATAAATAATCCAATAAAATCGGAAAACTCATTGAATTTAAGGAAGAGAGAAAAGGAAAAAGAAATTGATAGAGTAGATAAAATATTTTTATATGTGGATTCTCAGTCACACGAATAAATTTCATTCGACGGATTGTTTCGCGCATATCATACCGTTTAGACTTTAAGCAATCTTTAGTCAAAATATTCACGCATTAGTATTACACATTATATATAAGATTTAAATATGCATGCATTTCCACATAAAAATGGTACGAGCATCTTTAATAACATAAGTTATAAGGTTGATTCATACACATTGTCACCGTTTTATCGGGAACTCTATCATTTTTATGTTGGAATGTATGCCTAATATATTAATTATAAATATCCAGGATTAAAAAATTGCAAATCTCTCGATCATAAATACATAAAGATATTTGAAATTATTTCTCAAATATCGTTGAAAACTTTTTCAAAATTTACTTTTTGGAAAAGAGAAGTTCACTTTACAGAATTAGATCAAATTCTCATATTCTTATAATTTACTTAAATTTTAATATTTTTAATATTACATTTGTGTATCATTTTAGTGTCGTTTTATTCAGCACCTGGAAAATCGATTTCTTTTACTTCCCGATTGAAAATGCAAACTCTGACATACCCTGGATATATAAAAGACCTTGTAAGATAAGAAATTCATGGTTGCGTTTTATGAATAAGTAGATTTATGGAAACAGTTTGAACCATTCAACTGTAGAAAGAACGTTAAATAAATGAATAAGGACTAACTTATCCCCGTTAACAAATAATCAGTTAATATTTCCGTATAACAAATTGTAGTAATATTCCTTTACATTGCATATTTTTTGTATACAGGATACACGTGAATAAGTCGATCCAGTTTTCCTTAAAAATAAATGTTATTTTCTTCCAGTAATATTAGTAGTATACAATTAATATTAAATAACAGACAGATTGGAGCAAGAAGAGGGCCGTAAGCGTTAAGCATATAGTACAACGTATATATATACTTTGTGTCAATAATGAAAGTTTACATTACGTAAACTTTTTCGATCTTTTTATACGGGAATACTTCTTTGGTCTTTGGGCAGATCACTGTGCCATTATTCTCTTGGGCCATCTTCTCCAATGCCTACAACAAAAGTTATAGATGCAAGTACGGACGTTAAGAAGATACAATCGTCAAAAACGTATTACGAGCTAAATTTTAATCAATTTCATTGTAATGTGTAATTAAAATTGAATTTTTTATCATTAAAATAAATATGCACAGTCTAAAATTGATATGTATAGTATATAATACACATACACATATGTACATACATAATGCATGCATCAATCTTCCTTGTTTAATACTGTAATAATTAATATTTTTATTCGAAATTACTTGAATGCTCTACATTAACGTCACGTATTTGATTATATATCACTTTTAATTTTTATATTTTACTAGCACCTTCCAATACTTGGAAATATTTTGAAAGCTATAACTTAAAAATTATTTAAGGTCTAGGAGTTAAGGTCCTAAATGGCCTCTTCATTTTCTAATTGATTTTATATCTTAAGGACCTAAGTTAAAATTGTAGTATTTAAAAATTATTATTTAATTTATTAAGAAGTTTTAGAAATCTAACTCACTTGTTCACCATATACATATCCATTCGGCATCATCATGGGCTGATTATATTCATTTAGTGGTTTCCCGCTTATACTGCAAACCAGTCGTGATTGCGAACAGTGAGCAAAAGGCAACGGTGCGGCTAATTCATTCAAAGCTTCGTTGCAAACTGGACAGCTGGGATTTCGGCCCTCCTTATTGGCGCTGTAACATTGGGGAGTCTTTAGAGCCGACAGGCCAGCTTGCAGAGCTACCGTGAATACGCTCTGGCTCGCCAACTGAAATAGTCTGTAGTTTTCTTGCCGGAACGTCTCAATCAGCTTATCCCATCTGTAGACATATTTCCACGAATTTATATGAATCAGATACATTATTATAATCTTTATATCGTTACGCAAGATTTCTCAATGATTTCGTACAATAAATTAAATAACAATGTCTACAAATAGCGAACCTCTTTTCATCCAGTAGATCTTTGTAGGGACTCAAGTATGCATGAGCCGGGAAGGCTAACTGACCCATGCAGCACTGAATCTCCTGCAGCTGATAATCGTCGTAGTTGGCGAAGTACTTGCGAGCGTGCTTCACCGCATCGAGCCGTCTGTCTGCTCGCACTAATTCAATGAACTCTTGCACGCGCAAATTGAACTCCATAGTACTGCCTAGTTTTCGTAATTTCGAGCGATTGTCATGGCACCAGCCGATGCACCTCGTAGTCTCGTGGTTGGCCAAAGATTTCTCCACTTCTCTCGATACCATAAATACATCTATAAATATTGTACGATACTCAAGATTAGTAGGGATTGATAAATTGTTATAATGTAAAATCAAAAATTCATAAAATTATAGAAACTCGGTGAGATTCAAAGAATTTTTTCCAATTTCTCTCTCTTGGGATTTTAACTCGTAACGGCTCTCTTCGCCAGTTTCTTTTACTTAAATTTACATACCTAAATATTTCTACGATTCTATTTTCGTCAAATTGTACCTTTTCGATACAGCTTCGAAAATATCGACAGGTCATTCTTTCAGATTTAAACGAAATGTGGCTTGTACGTATTATACAATGCAGAGCTTGGTATCACTTGACCATTTTTCAGCAAAGATACAAGATAAATCTTGAAATTATTCAGCAAAGAGACAAGTACAGTTACATTCAAGGTAGTAACCGCTAGCTAAACTGTTGTCCCACCGATTGCATGATTTCATTCGATTTCTAAGGAGTTGACTGAACTCTGGTTAATACCGACGTTTGTGAAACTGGCCCTTACAAATACTCAATAAGTAACGAATCGTTACTTTGCAGTTACTTGCTTGAAATGGAAATAAAAAGATGAAATCAGCATTTGAATTGTAAAGCGCCGATAAAGGCGTTTATGCGTAAATGCAAGACCTAATGCGATCTGTGGAGGTTAAAAAAAATAAAATAACTATCAATGTAACTATTAAATTACTAGTTATCGAAAAAATGTAACTAAGTTAAGTTACAGATGGAAAGGAAGTAACGAAGCCGAATTGGTTGAGACGCCCGCCTAGCGAGAGGGAAGTCCAGGTTCAAACCCTGGCCGAGGTAATATTTTTTTGCAATAAATTTAAAATTAAATATTTAGACACTAACACCCTGTCACGGCTCGTAGTCCTTTATTCCTTCAAATATGTGTTTAACGAAGTTAAGTTAGAGTTACCAAAAAAAAAACAGTAACCGTAACTTCGTTACAAGTAACGAGTTACTTGCCAGCCCTGTGTAGGATATAGAAAATAGGATCAGAGCTTGGTAAGCTTGGTTTTTTACAAGATACCGGTACAAATACTATCTGTAGCTACATCTACTTTGTATGTATTGCCTATCTTTAAGGAAAAAAGATAGCGAGCTCTGGTGCATTGTATCAAACGATGTACCGATATTCGTCAGATCCCTGAGCTCGCTGCTGTCCGCCAGTTTAGTCGCCGTTTTATAATATCCCTTGCGGAGAAAATATTCCACTAGCATTCTGTCTAATCTCTGTCTTCTCCACTGGTTCACGGCGCTCGGGGAGGTGTTGGCGTGATCCTTCAAGTGATCCAGTCTTCTCTTGCACACCATGCCCGCCTGCAGCTCCTCCGCTATGGATTCCTGAGCCTTGCGTTTTAGGACTTGGAGCCTGGCGACCACGCCGCCGAGCAACTTGCTGATTTCTCCGGTCGCCACGTAAGACCCGTCGGTCTTCAGGCTCTTCTCGAGTTCATTGGACACCGCCTGGACATGCGACACTTCTCTGTCGAGGGTCTTCTGGGCGGAGCGGAACTTCTTGTTCAGAAGCTCGTACGGAACCTGCGTTTTTTTTATCCAATTGCATTACTGAACGCCGTTAATATTCTAAACGTTCGTCAGAACTAGAGCTCCCTAGTACACGTTTAATCCGTGAACATGCGAATGTGACAAATGTAAATGTGTATACCTCAATAGGATAATATTTAAAGAATTACGTGACAAAATCTAGATAAAACTTGAAATGCTGGAATTATGCGTAAACATATGTCGAACAACATTTGCAGAAATACAGATCTTCCATCAAATTTTGATAAATAATCTGCACATGTTTACACATATCACACGTACACAGATATTCGAGTACACATGTCGCAAACATGAATATTCGAATACACGTGTTACATACACGACTACACGTGAATCTTAAAGCACGTATCCAATCGAAAGCTCTAGTCGGAACTTCTACAAGAGGCAGTTAGAACAAACAAGAAATAAAGCACGTGTTTAATATAGAAAATTCGCAGGACTATGCAACGTATTTCTACACATCTACATTAACTCTGTTAAGAATTTTACTTCTGGAGCTCTTGTCTCTGTTCTTTAATATTTGCAATTAAAAAAAGTATTATAAGTAATGAAAAAAAAAAATTTGCTATTATAATAAAGTAATTTTATCGGGCATTACAATTGCTCAGACTCCGAGCCCCTTTCAATATACTTGATTTTATCATACGAGCCATTGTTGTTTACAAGAAAAGTATTGTTCACTCCCCAGTGAGAAATGATTCATCGATCGATGTCGAAACGATGTCGAATCGACGTCAATTTGACGGTATCGATGTCGATTCGACATCGTTTTGGCATCGATCGACAAATCATTTCTCACTGGGTCTTAGCGATTCATTCCCAAAGAGACGCTTGTTCAAATATGATAAAAGATTATTGCTCGTTCCTTGTTCTTTTCTTCGGCAAACATGTACGCGCGCGTAGATAACAGTCATACTGGGTGCCAGGGTGAAATTTGCAAACGGCGGAGCGTATATCTCGGAAGTGTCCCGCGTGGGAAAAGCGGGAGCGAGTATCTACCTTCAGCGTGGGATGTTCGAGGCTCTTCACGTCTGACATATTGGTTAAATGCCCAGGACAACGAGCGGACGAGGAGAGACACGGGGTGGAGAACGCGGAGTCGACGATCCGATTAGGTGTCAATCGCTGCACGTCGCGACGCGATATTCACGTCCATGTCAATGCGACCCGAGAGAGGAGGAGACGACGGCACGCAGGTGGATCGCAGCTCCTTCGCATTCGCCTCTAGCTCACTCGCCCGTCACATGTGTCGGTTTGTTTACGCGTAACTTGGGTCGGGCCTCTCGCGTCTTTCTCTCTCGCTGACGCTTAAAGCCCCGTGTCGGAGGCCTGTCGTCGGACTTGCGAACTGAAACTCGCAACTCGACCAATCGGATTATCCTAATCTTCGCCCGTTCGGTTCTAATCGGTTGAATATCAGTCCCGCGAGCCTCGGTCTGCGACGCGCGCTTAAAAAATAACGGGAAACTCTATTGATTTTGATAAACGCGGATTAATTCGATCGGCGATTATCTTCAAATCGACAAATATTCGTTGCTACCAATATTATGTAGATCAGCTGTAATGGTTTAAGGGGTAATGGCACTCCAGTGCCCGGAAAAACAGCCTAATTTTGACAAGTTTTTATGGGAATATATAATCTGTTTTAAGGCCTTTTTCGTACATACTTTGAAACGTATTCACAAAATTTTTCAATTTTTTTTAATAAAATGGCGGCGTCAGAGCTCGGCAAAAGAAGCCTATATTAAGCCCGCTGCAGACGATGCTATTTTTCCTGCTGGATTGCTTGCAATTTAGTAAATTACTATCATTGCACCACTCAGCATTCAGGATTCCTAGTAATTTACTAAATTGCAAGCAATCCAGCAGGAAAAATAGCATCGTCTGCAGCGGGCTTTACTTTTCGGCCGCGGAAATATATTAGTCCCAGTCTACAATAGAGATTTAAGCCCTAAGCCTTAAGAAATTGACTAATCACAGTCGCGCATTCTACTCATACTTGACCGTGATTGGCCAATTTCTTAAAGCTTAGGGCTTAAATCATCTATTGTAGACT